TTTTTCACTTAAATTTTTTTTTTTTTTCACTTAAATGTCAGTCGTTTTTAAATATACAAACAAACAAACAAAACCCAGCTGGAAATAACCTAAATGTCCATTAAGGGGGAAATGGTTAAATAAATCATACCAGATTCTGAAAACACATGTCTACAAAAACAGAATGAAATGGATTTGTCCATCTTCATGTGAAATATATCCCAGATATAAAGTGAAACCACACTGGTGCAGAGTATATACACATAGTATGATCACATACTACATACGAGAAAGGATACACATATCTGTGCTTGTAAAATAAACCTCTCTAGAAGGAAACGCTGTTCTCCACCAAAGAATGGGACTGAGGTGGGGAACTAAAAAGAGGGTGTTTGCTGTTTATGCTATGCACTTCTATCCTGTTTTCCATCCTAAAAAAAAAGGGGGGGCCTTGTTTAGGCATTATTTCTATGTAAATGGGTTTCAAAATGAGTTTCAAAACGGGTTCTATTTTGAAAAGTAAAGGTCAACATTTATTGAGAAAAAAACTCCTGCTACTGGCTTTTTAAAAACAACCTTCTTAAGGGAGAATTTACATACCACAAATTCACCCACTGTATAGTGTAGATTGTTAACTGGCTTTTGTGCTGAGTTGTAAGAATTTATTTGGCATGAGAAACAAAATATTTTATGTAACCAAGTGCAAGAATAGCTTTGCTGTCTAAGAAATCTAGGGATATCAAAATTTGAGATAATTTAGTAATCGTAACAAGGGTCAATAATGCTTGGCCTTCGGATTATGGGGGAAAGGTCAGAACTATAAGATCCTATAGAGCTTAGCCACACCAAAAAGAAGAAAGAAGAAGAAAGGAAGAAGAAAAAGAAAAGAAAAGAAAAAAAAGAAAAGAAAAGAAGAAAGAAAGAAAGAAAGAAAGAAAGAAAGAAAGAAAGAAAGAAAGAAAGAAAGAAAGAGAAAGAAAGAAAAAAGAAAGAAAGAAAGAAAGAAAGAAAGAAAGAAAGAAAGAAAGAAAGAAAGAAGAGGAAGGAGGGGGAGGAAGAGGAGGAGAAATAAAAGAAAACAGAAAAAAAAAGAAAGGAAGGAAGGGAGGGAGGCAGGAAAAGAAGGGAAGGAAGGGAAGGAAGGAAGGGAGGGAGGAGGAAAAGACAAGACAAGCAAACTCCAGCAGGGCTAACGCCAGTCTTCTATATACACCAGCAGATCGAATAAGCCGAAGCTCAGCTCGATGGACCCCCAAGAGTGGCTGCCACCGGGGAGACTTGTGGCTCTGAAACAAAGCCCGGTGGTTTCCCTTCGTCTCTGGACTTCGAGCTTGACCTAACTTTCTAGTCCCTTCCCCACCCCATAACCCCCCCAAAGCGGCCCACGAAGGCCGGAGGTTTCGGGGCGCAGTCGCTCAGCAGCCCGAGGTCTCTGTCCCGGGCAGCGGGAGAGAAATGCTGCGCCCTCAGCCAGGCACCCGCGTGCCCAGTCCCGCCCCTCGCCCGCAAAGCCTGACCCGGGAGACAGCGCACGGCAGGCCCTTGGTCCAGAGCTCCCACCTGTGCCCCGCAGCATGTTGTCCCGGAGCAGGTCCCCGCTGGAGAGGTGCTTCAGTTCGAAGTGTTTGGTGATGCGCGACGACACGGTGCCCTTGCCTGAGCCTGGGGCCCCCATGATCACCGCGCGCAGCAACCGCGCGGACGCCCCCATAGCCGCAGACCGAGGCCGGCGCCGCGCCCGCACCAGCTTTGGCCTGGCCTGCGCGCTCACCCGCTCTGCGGCCCGCGCCGGCCGTCTGGCAGCGCCCTAAAGGGCGGCGACCGCGGCTCCCAGGCGTTCCCGGAAGTGAGGCGACGGCCTCTGGGGCCGCCCCGCTAGCGCCAGACCCCACCACTGCGCCCGCCTCTCGGCGACCCCGGCGCGCCCCCTGCCCGGCGCCCGGCTCCCGGCCCAGTCCCGCAGTGCAAGCCGCGCCCCCTCAGCGCTCGCTAGGCCGCCCGGCTCCCACTTGCGCCGCCCCGCGGCCCCTCTCCAACGGCTGCTGGGCCCGGATCCCTTGGGCGCCGCTCTGCACCCACCTCCGCGCGCCCTCCACTCAGCTCAGTTCTACTCCGCGCCTCTCCGCGACCTCTCGCCCTGTCCGGCCCAGTCCCGGCCGGGTGGACCGCGCTGCCTTCTGTCCGACCTTGGTAACTCCTGAGCGCCCCATGCCTACCTCTAGTCGCCCCTGGGAGCCGCTTGGTTTCGGAATCCACCCGCACCCACCCCTCCATCAAGCCTTTCTTAGCCGTCGCCCCTGGTCCATGGCAGGCGCTGCCCTCCCCAGTCCCTGCCGGACACACCGCACTCCCTTCCGAGCTCCCTTGACAACCCTTGTCCCCGCTCCACCTGGCGCCCACTCGAGACCCCCTCCCCTCTGCTCCCCTGGACCGCCAGACGCCCCGCTTCTGCACCCACTTCCGCGTCGCCCCTCCCTCCTTCCTCTTCCTCTGCTGCCGAGCGCCCTCTCTTCCCATTCCTTCTCTGTGTACAATCACAGGGAGTGACCTTGAGCCGAGAGGGCCTACCTCATCTTACAGGAGAAGAAATCTAGCTTTTGTTAAGTGAGATTCTTTTATAAATAACATAAGAGAGTGTGTGAAAGAGTGGAGGCAGGCTGCTGTGGATAGGCGATCGGAAGAGCTTTGAAGGGATGGCCTTTGTGCTGAGTACTGAATTAGAATATGGAAGGGAGGGGAGAGACAGAGGCAAGGAGGAAGGCCCTAAGACTGGAGGTTTGGCATGTTTCAAGAATGGAAACAGAGGACAGACATTTCAGTGAGTAGCATTTTGTCTGTAAAATGGACATAGAGGATTAGAATGGAGGAGTTCAAGTATTGTAGTACTTAGTGCAATGACAGCTACAGGTTAAATGGTCAAGTCCATTTATTATCATTGCTTTGTGTGGGGACACTATGCTAAGGCAGAAAGAAAGCTCTGTGAAAATAAACACAGTTACCTTTCTCCTCAGAGGTCCAGAACTGATTTCAAAGAAGATAGAAATGATTTCAGGGCAAGACACTGAGGGAAGACTTGCTCAGGGAGTGAATCTTGGGTGAATGGGTGGGGAGATTTCAATAGGTAGACAGCCTGGTACTTAGAAAAGGCATTAGCTTTTACGTTCTGCTGTGGAAAAAAAAGAAAGAAAATACATACCTTGTACAGTTTTATTTTTCGAGACAGGGTCCCAGGCTGGAGTGCTGTGACACGATCTCAGCTCACTGAACCTCTGCTTCCCAGGTTCAAGTGATTCTCATGCCTCAGCTTTGTGAGTAGCTGGAATTACAGGCACCCACCACCATGCCCAGCTAATTTTGTATTTTTAGCAGAGATGATGGGATTTCACCCTGTTGGCCAGGTTGCTCTCAAATTCCTGACCTTGAGTCATCTGCCGGCCTTGACCTCTTGAAGAGCTAGGATTACAGGCTTGAGCCACAGTGCCTAGCCGAGCTCATACATGCTCATTACTAAGCAAGAAAGAATGAAAATAATGAAAATAAATGAACTAAACATTGAATTCATGTAATTGGGAAAAGGTCATCAAAATAACCCATAGAATGCAGAGAAAGGGATGAAGTAAATAACATAAATGAAAGGCTGAGAAAACTTAAACAGAACTAACTAAAGAATGAAAAAGTTTGGACAAGTACAAATTTGCAATACTAGAAAATCTGAAGGTGTGGAGAAAGTACTTCTAATCTCCAAAGCTGGGAACATAGGAGGTTCCAACTCCAAAAGAAACCGGAAAGAAAATCCTGGGGAAATTTGGCTTAGAAAAAAAATGTTCAAACAAACAACAATAGCTGAGGAATCATCCTCTCTCATTGCAAGGGCGAAAAGCTGAATTTTGTGGTCATATTAACTGGCCCACAAAACACCAACCAACTTTGACTTTGCAAAAGGTTGTTGATTACAAATGAGTAATTGCCAGTCTGTTAAATCTCCTGGCAACTATGCCTGGCATAGACATTTCACCATTCACAGGCATTTGTGTTCCTCACTGCTTGCTTACCTTGTTCCAACGGAAAAACACTGAGGTCAAATAAATACAAATTCTAATTTAATGACCAAGTGTTTATACAGATTAGATTGAAGGAAATAAAGCCCAGATGAGTTCTTTGCACATAGTGGGCACTCAGTAGGTCTTTGTTGATTGAACACAAAGAATTACTGTTTTATCATTTTTGTTGTTTCTTTGTTTTTGAAACAGAGTCTCCCTCTGTCACCCAGGCTGGTGTAGTGGCACAATCTTGGTTCACTGCAGCCTCCACCTCCCAGATTCAAGAGATTCTCCTGTTTCAGACTCCTGAGTAGTTGGGACTAGAGGCTTGTGCCCATGCCCAGCTAATTTTTGTATTTTTAGTAGGGGTTTCGCCATGTTGGCCAAGCTGGTCTCGAACTCCTAACCTCAAATTATCCTCCTGCTTTGGCCTCCCAAAGTGCTGAGATTACAGGCATGAGCCACCGTGTCACACTGAAGATTGAAATGTTTAAGGGCTCTAGAATGTACAACTGAGGAGGAAATGATGGGCATGTGTCATGGATTGTATTGTATTCCCCCAGGAGATATGTTGAAGTCCTACTCCCCAATACCTCAGAACATGACCTTACTTGCACAAAGGGTCTTTGCAGACATAGTTAAGATAAGGTCGTAGTGGAAGATGGTCAGCTCTTAATCCAATATGACCTGAAAACATAGGAGCAGAATGCCATGTGACAATGGAGGCAAAGATTGAGCTTACACAGCTGCAAGCCAAGGAACACCAAAGATTGCTGGGGACACTAGAAGCCAAGAGAAAGACACAAAGCTGATTCTCCCTAGGGACCTTGAGAGAGAATAACCCTGCCTGCGCCTTGACTATGAATTGCAGCCACTAGAACTGTGAGAGAATAACTTTCTATTGTTTCAAGCCCCCTAACTTGTGGTAATTTGTTACTGTAGCTCTAGGGAACCAATGCAGCTTGTTTCCAAGAAATATATATATGTATATGTGTTTGTATGTTGCTTCACACTGTGTGTTACCTAGATGAGAACAAAAGAAAAGAAGCATTTATGTTTGAGAAGTCATGACCAGGATTGTAGTGTGACAAAGAGAAGGAAGGTGCATCAATTATCCACTGCTATAAAAATCCACTTCAGGCCAGGTGTGGTGGCTCACACCTGTAATCCCAGCACTTTGGGAGGCCAAGGCTGGAGGATCACTAGAGTCCAGGATCACTAGAGACCAGCCTGGGCAACATAGTGAGACCTCTTCTCTACCAACAAACAAACAAACAAAACAAAATGAACAAAATTAGCCAATGTGGTGGTATGCACCTGTGGTCTCAACTATTTCGGAAGCTGAGGTGGGAGGATTGCTTGAGCCTGGAAGGTCGACACTGTAGGGAGCGGTGATCACACCACTGTACTCCAGCTTGGGTAACAGAGCAAGACTCTGTCTCAAGAAAGAAAGAAAGGAAGAAATATCCTGGCCAGGTGCGGTGGCTCACACCTGTAATTCCAGCACTTTGGGAAGCCAAGATAAGCAGATCACTTGAGGTCAGGAGTCCGAGACCAGACCGGCCAACATGGTGAAACCCCTGTCTCTACTAAAAATACAAAAATTAGCTGGGCGTGATGGTGTGTGCCTGTAGTCCCAGCTATTTGGGAGGCTGAGGTACGAGAATTGCTTGAACACTTGAACCTGGGAGGCAGATGTTGTACTTAGCCAAGATCATGCCATTGCACTCTAGCCTGGGTGACAGAGTGAGACTTTGTCTTAGTAGATAAATAAATAAATAAATAAAATACAAAAATTAGCTGGGCGTGGTGGTGCACACCTATAATCCTAACTAGAGGCAGAGGTTGTACTGAGCCAAGATCATGCCATTGCACTTCAGCCTGATTGACAGAGTGAGACTCTGTCTCAACAGATAGATAGATAGATAAATAAATAAATACAAATACAAATACAACAATTATCTGAGCATGTGGTGCACACCTGTAATCCCAACTACTCAGGAGGCTGTGGCAGGAGAATCTCCTGAACCTGGGAAACGGAGGTTGCAATGAGCCAAGATCACACCACTGCACTCCAGCCTGGGCATCAGAGCAAGACTCTGTCTCCAAAAAAATAAAAATAAAATAATAATAAATATATAGGGGAAGAATGTTCTAGAGAGAAAAAGAACAAAGGCAAAGGCCCTGAGGGAGGAATATGCTTGAGTTTTCAAAGAAGCCATTCTGCCTGAAACAGAGCAAGAAGGAAAATAACAGGAAAGCTCAGGGAGGTAGTGAGGGTCCAGACCCTACAGGGCCTAACAAACCACTGTGGCAAATGGTATTTTCCAAAGATAGGCATGATGCCAACTCCCAGTCCATGAGCTCATCTTTGACACTTCTCCAGTCAAGAGGGACAGGGTCCCTGTCCCCTCCACCTTTAACTGAATAGGCTTCTTGACTGTTTTACCAATTGAGTATGGTGGAAGTGATGTTATGTGATTTCCAAGGCTAAGTCATAAAAGACAAATATCTTCTGATTTGTTCACTGGGACACCCATTTTGGAAGCCTACAGCTGCCACATGGGGAATCTGACTGCCCTGAGGCCACCAGGCTGTAAGGAAGTACGAATTAGCCCACATGGAGAAACCACTTAGGTCCTGAGATGACATGGAGAGAGAAGTGCTTTATTCTCTAGGTGTCCCAACTCTAGCCATCTGACTGCACTTGCATGAGACACCTCAAGCCAAAACCATATAGCTGAGCTTTTCCTAAATTCCTGACGCATAGAAGCCATGGGAGAAAATAAAAGTAATCATGGTGCTTTTAAGTAATGCAAGTGAGAGAGGAAGATGACTTGGCCTTGCATGTCATAGATGATGAGAGCTAGTTGGATTCCAAAATACAAAT